AAGTACGCTGTGTTACCGTAACTGAATCGAAATTTTTGATGCGTGAACCGTGTGTGCGTGTGCTTGTGGGTAGGTATACATGCGCCTGCGTGCTTGCGTTATATTTTATTTATTTATTCTATGCTCGTCGAAATGACGAAATGTTCGTCATATAGACCTACTGAAAAAATTGAACTGGCTTTCCTAAACGGGGCTTTTGACATATGAATCATGTGAGATTAAAATCTCGTCGAATGATAAAACCATTTGCGTTATATTACGTTAATTATCTCATATCGTCGGGCCTATTGATAATTATGCAATTTAATAAAATAAAATCTTCGTAATAGTTGTATTTAACCTTCGAAAATCCGTGACGAAAAATACTTTTTAACGTTTAATTTCTTGTGTGATGCAAATCCACACACTGCGGCTTCATACATCGTTATAGCAAACGCAAATTCACGTATACGTTAGGTGCTGATTCCTCGTGGCTGTTCCGACATTTCTTATACGGACAATACGTTCAATCGGGGAGGCAGTACCTACAAAGAATTCTACAGATTAATCTACAAAAAAGTCGCCACCAATGTACTTTTGTTGGGTGGTGGGGATCGTTGAGGCATTGTGGTGATACGTGATTGTACCCCTAACATCACTGGATTCGCTATTAGGACATTGTATTATGTTAGATTACATTAGGATTTATTGGATCAAATGTTGGGATTATATTTAGATATTACGGTTAAAATGCGACAAAACTATTGAGACGGCGAGAAGTAGGCAGCGCGTGAATGTATAGTGGTGACAGGGAGAAAGAGGGGCGTAGGAGGAGAAGAAGAAGAAGGAGGACGATGAAGAGGAGGAGGAGGAGGAGGAGGAGAAGGAGAAGAAGGAGGAGAAGGAGGAGGAGGAAGAAGAGGGAACGGCCTATGATAAATTATTCCTGCCGATAGATGGTGCTACGATGTCACTTATTGACCCCGCCACAGACTAACGGATAGGATACACTGATCTCTACTATCTAACTATACTGTCTGATCTACTATCTAACTATACTAAACTTTGTTTAATTTCACTCTGGCGTTTTTGTATAATCAAACACACTATTATTACTCTTATAATTACTACTACTACAATCTACAGTATTAGTGTAATAACACATAAATACTAATAGTATTATATACTATACCATAATAGATGTCAGTTATTATTATTTTAATTATAATTACGTTTATCATTTTTAGTTAAGAGTGTTATCAAAATTTATTTATTCGGGATAGCAGTAAATATGTATAGACTCATATCGTCTCTTCCCCCCACTTCTCGGAGATAGAGAAAGGGATTATATATATACATATATACATATATTTATAATATATACATATACATACATATATATCTCTTAGTTCCTTCTCTCCTCGTAGAGAATAGGGCTGGAAATCAAATTTCTCAATGATGTGCCATCTTTCCCAGCTCTAGATCTATAATGTTTCATAATCTTTCATGTATTCATCAAAGTTTGTTTTCATGGGAATGGGATTTGACTGGTAACAAGAATTATTATAGGTAGAACAGGCCCGTAGCCAGGGGGGTTCGGGGGGTTCGAACAAACCCCCCCCCCAAGCCCCCAAACAAACAAAAAATTTTTTTTTGCAAGAATTTTATCTCAGGTCGCTCCATTTTAGTGTAATAATTACAAATTCTCCATCGTGCGGGAGGGTGAACAGTGAACACCCTCCTCCCACACCCTCCCCCCGCTCGGTCGCTTGGCTCCCTCGCCTGGTCGCTTCGCGCCCGAGCAGGGGCGTGTACAGGGGGGGTCCAGGGAGTCCGGACCCCCCCTTGCTTGCGCAG